CTTCATTCCAATGCTTAATTTCGGTGTTTGCATGCCTGACACATGTACTGAATATGACGTCACCAGGATGATCACTTTTGGTAAGTCGCTACATTTTACAAGATCGGCATAGCAATTTCTGAAAGCGTATCAGTAAGAAGAGTGCTTGTGATTAGAAAAAGTTGGTCTTGCAACCTATATAAGATGCCTCATGTATATCCTCGCTTATTTGATTTTTGAGCATACAAAAAATCGCTTCTTCACTTTGCTTACCGTTAATTGGATGGGGAAAAGCAAATAAATTTTGTGGAAATGGACTTTACAAAAAAATTTTTGCCTAGAAAAGTTGCAACAGTTTTGAGTCTTCTTTGTATCATTTATGTTAATCGTGAAAAATTGTAGCCGTTCGTCTCGCCGAAAGCGCACTTGGCAGAGATGCCGTATGCGACGTGAATGTAGAGTGCCGTCCCGAAAAGGAATCAGCCATGAGCAGCAACTGGCTTGCCATGGCAGCTCTGTATGTAGCGATAGAGAAGTACGTAAAAGAGTAAAGTGGTGTTTTCAGATATTTTCTGATCTACACAATCATCATGATCATCTTCGGCACTCTGTACGATCTCTTTATCTATCAGAAAGAGATTGAACTGTTTCCTCCATCAGAAAGAAACAGCCGTAAGTCATCAGTCATAAAGTTTTTGAGAAAGTGAAATGGGTGTTGTGCAAAGTCAAGAGGTTATGATCGTTACTTGAGCAATTCCGAGAAAAATTCTTTCTGGACGTACTATAGCACAGAAAAATTCCAAAGCTTATCTTCGACATGTAGAATTTTCCATTTAGATTTATTCATCCGTATAATTCTTGCATACTCGGTGTACACAAATGGTCAAGAGATTTTGAAAACAACCAAAAAAGAGGTAAGTCACGACCATCTTGCAAGTCGTCACGACTTTGCCAAAAATCTCAGCAAACATTTCTTAAAGGGCGAGGTGAACTGCCTTCATGGAATTCGTTTTCTTAGCATGTGCTGGATTATTCTTGGCCATACCTATTATTATATCGGAAAAAGTTTGATCATAGGTAGGTGTCGATTTTTTAGTTGCAAGGTGAAATAGTTTTAAACAGAGTTCGGAATTAAGATCCCCCCTCCCCAAAAAAAGAACATTTCTTACTGAATTGATGTCACATGAGAATCGCTTCTGCTCTGCGCTTACCATATTCGTGTGAATGAGATAAAGTATTGTAGTGATTAGTGGGCTACTTGCGATTCTATTCGCGTACTTCCACAGGAGAAGTGGGAGATGCTTGGAAAGTCTCCTAGAAATGCAATAGAAAATGCGCAAAGATCTCATGTTGTTCATTTACATGTCCCAAAAATCTAGCTCAGCCAAAATTTAGCATTTCGCTGGTAAAGTTGTTAGAACCGATAGTCTCCCAATCCAAAATCTATCAAATGAGCTTAAAAGCAAAATATGTGCAAATTGAGGGGTACGTCAGAAATT